CGAACCCGTCTAGCTACAGTACCTAACCAGCTGTTGCGTCAGTCTCGCCGCTATGCCGGCCTAGCCGTCCGGTCTACTTTTCTCTCTTTCCTTCTCTTCTCTTATTCTTTTTTCATCTTTTCTCCCTTTTGGAAGGTTTAACAAGAGCTAAGCTTTCCTCCACCCTCTCTTATCTCTAATCTTATTCCTCTCTTTAAACAAATACCTTTCCTTTCTTTATTCCTGAAGTGTTGGGTGAAAGCCAAACCAACCTTCATCCCTCTTATCTCTAAAGGATTTGGGTGAAAAACAGACCAGCTTTGTTCTTTTGTTCTTCTTTCTCCAAAAATTCTTTTCTTTGAAGAGTTGGGTGAAAGCCAAACCACCCTCCGTTCCTCTTTTCTAACTCTCTTTCTAAGAATACATCTTATCTCGAAAGGATCTGGGTGAAAAAACATACCAGCCTTCGTCTCTCTCTTTCTTCTTTCTCTTAAGTGTTGAGTGAAAGACAAACCAACTTTCATCCCTCTTTTCTTTCTCTACACTCTCTAAAATGCTGGGTGAAAGCCAAACCAGCCTTGATATCTTTTTCTCTCTTTACCCTCCTCTTTTTCTTTATCTTCTCTCTAAAAATTATCTCCTCTCTAATATTCTTTCTCTATCTAACCCCTCTTCTCTTTCCCTTCACTGTAAAATATGTACTAAGAGTCTCTTGTCAAGGAGACGTTGTAAGGCTGTCAAATTGACACGGACTTCATTATGTTAATTCTTTCATTCTCCATTGAGTACACACACACATGTGTGCTCATCCTATGACAAGGTGGGGTCCTCAGACCCACTTGTCTGTACTCTAATGTGTGTGTGTGGTTGCAGGTAAAAAGAAACAGGTCAAGCGAGGCGATTCCGAACCAGCCACAAGCTAGAGGGGGCATTCCATATGACCTAAGAGGGTGCCCATACAAGCTAGCCTGAGCGTGTCACGGACCCACGTGTCTTTCCTCATGCGATTCCCGAGAGAGCAGTCTGAGGTCTCAGATCCATCGCGAATCTTGAACCACGCCACTAGGTCAACTCGATCGGGAGGGCGAGATCGATGCATCTAACCAAACGCGTGGATACAAGTATTCTGACACGGATCCATAACACAAGAGAGGAAACAATACCGACAAAGGACCTCTCTCTTTCTCTCCACAAGAAAACACTTATGTATTTTATCAAATTCAATTCCATCTCCCTTTGAATGGTGTGTGTATCCTTTTATACATTTAAATCACCTTCTCATGTGACTTTCAAAAGATAACCCCTAATATATCTCCCTACTAAAAACTAAAAACAATAACTAATCAAAATAAATCTATCTCTAGATTCTTTCCATATGCTTCCATCCAACGTCCTAAGAGTGTGTTTGACACATGGAGTTTTTGGGAGCGGAAAGTACTCTCCCACAAATTATGGAAAACTGTTCTTCCATCATTTTTTTATGGAAGAGGGGTCCTCCAAAAATGAACCCATTTTAACATTAAAAAAAGCTGCATGGAAGGTCGCCCTTCCACTTTACATCTTCCACACAGTAATATCAAACATAGAACCAGGACATTTAACTCCTACTTCTAGAAACTTCCACTTACCAAACACACTCTAAAAGATAATTACAACTCCATACTTCATCCTTTCCACCTATGTGAGTCATTATTTTCCCTAGTTTCAACCCAACACAAAAGATAATACTCCTTTTAATATAGGAAATAAAATATATTTCCTAAAAACTAAAGATAAACACCTTTTACCCCCAACTAATACAAGAGATAAACTTTTCTAAACGAATTAAAAAACAACCTTCCTCCGAAGCTAACTCCATCGTACTTACCTTTTTATTTCTAAAGAAGGCTCCAAAAGAAATACTTTAACTTTCCTAAATAAAGGAAATATGGATACTAAAATACAACTAAAGATTTATCTTTTTTCAAAAAAGACACGTCCTAAACTATAGACTTTATTAAACTAAATTAAACAAATCCCTATTAATCTTATTTCTAAACATTGATCCTAATAAAATAAATAAAAAGTCTACCCAATTTCTAAAAATAAAATTAACAAAAAATAAAATTAAAATTTGTAGCCACTAAGTTTTGATCTGCGTCATTCTCTCTTGGTTGGAGAAAACTCGTCCTCGAGTTTTAAAGTGCACTAAGATAAGATTTGTAGTAGTCATGCCGCCTTCTTCAACTTGAATATTGAAAAACCTGTGGGTTACTGCATTGATCAAGACACAAAGATGATGCACTGAAATTGTGAAACCCTTGAGGAAAGGGCCGTTGTATGTTAATTTTTCAACCACATCAACTTGCTGAAATTGCTCAAACATCATGTTATAAAATTGCTCAAACATCACATTAGGGGACATCGCATATGCTTCTTGAAAATTGAAAAAATGATCATGCAACATGTGGGTTATTGCATTGATCAAGACACAACGATAGTGCACTAAAATTGTGAAACCCTCAAGGAACTGGTCATTGTATGTTGATTTTTCAGCCACATCAACTTGCTGAAAGTGCTCAAACATCATGTTATGAAATTGCTCAAACATCCCATTAGGGCACATCACATATTCTTCTGTTTGTTCGTTATGCATCTCTAAAGGCTGGATCTCCTCTGGGATAAAGTCAACATATTGAGTTTCCACCTCTCCATCAATAAGAAATTAGATATCCTTGTTGCGTCAAGGATAATTTATTTCCTTTCATCTTGTTTTTTATCAAAAAGAGGAAGTTCATCAAAGATGGGGTAACCTATGACATCCAATAATGATGATTGCAATGGAAGATCCAAAACTACACGTCCTTCATCTTCAATTGGTTCTTCATCAAACTTAAGCAGATCAAGTTCCCAACTATGAGAAAATAGATCACACTCCTGATCATGAGGCTTCCTATACAGAGCGTTGGCATGGAACAGGTTCTTGAAAATAACGTCTGACTCACTACCGTCATCATAGTGTGTCGAAGCTAGTTTTTACTCCAAACACAGGGTTATCTCTTATACTTGCCTTCTCAAGTTCTCCATCGCTCGGAGACCTCGGATGTTTCGTTCTCACTTGATGGGTTGAGTCTCGATGCCAGGCCATAGACCTTGTCCATGAGCCATGAAGCCAATCGATGAACACCATGATCCACAAGAATCGACTAGCTCTGATATCACCTGACGCAGTATAAAATTTACTGGCGAATACCACCAAGCAAAAGTAACCACGTTTAAGAGAGAGAAACAAAATCGGGAAGGAAATCACAAGAAGAAAGAATGAAATGCGCAAATACAAGTATTCCGACACAGGCTCATAACATAAGAGAAGAAACAGCACCCACAAAGGGCCTCTCTATCTCTCTACAAAAAAACACTTCTTTCTTTCATCAAATTCAATTCCATCTCCCTTTACATGGTGCATGCCACCTTTTATACATTTAAATCACCTCCTCAAGTGACTCTCAAAAGATAACTCCTAATATATGTTCCTACTAAAAACTAAAAACGATAGCTAACCAAAATAAATCGATCTCTAGATTCTTTCCATATTCTTCAATCCAACTTCCTAAAAGATAATTACAACTCCCTACTTCATCCTTGTCACCTACATGACTCATTATTTTCCATAGTTTCAACCTAACACAAAAAGATAATACTCCCTTTAAAATAGAAAACAAAATATATTTCTTAAAAACTAAAGATAAATACCTTTTACCCCCACCTATTACAAGAGAAACTTTCCTAAACGAATTAAAGGACAACCTTCCTCCCAAGCTAACTTCATTGTACTTACCTTTTTATTTCAAAAGAATACTGCAAAAGAAATACTCTAACTTTCTAAATAAAAGCTCACCTAGAAAATACGGACATTAAGGAGCCATTGAGGGTACCTGAAAATATATTGCCTATGAAATATTACTGTTGTAATAAATTACTAGCTTAAGGCATTTTCTAAAAATAAATTGTTGTTGTTTCGGTAGTATCTAGGTACAACCTGGGAAATACATCCTTACTTATTCCCATTTGCAAAGGGAGTAAATGATACATCCTTTTGGGAAAGAAGCTCTTTCACCACTAATACAAGCAGAGCTCATAACCCTGCATATGCAAATCCCAAATTTCATTGTTCTCTCCTCTTAATGCATTTCAGCCAGTGTTTAAGAATGACAAGACAAAACTGGCAATCCTACCGAGTCGATTATTGTCCAATACCTTGGCCAGTCTGAGTCAAAAGTAAAAATTTGATTTGATTGAAATTAAGTTAAAATCAATTCTTAACTAATTTGGCATTTTTGGATTAGCCGATTTTAGCTGTTGCTAAACAAGGTTGGACCAAAGAGTTACTAAACAAAGTTTGTAGGGCTGGCAATGAGCCGGGAAGTGCACCCCGGCCCGCTCTAAAAAGCTAGAATGTGGTCTAAGGGCTAGGCCACAATACGGCCCTTTTTTCCTTTTTTTTTTTTTTGGTTTTGGTTGTACTTCACCTATCCCAGCTCTAATAGGCTAGGGCTTCTTTAGCTTGGTCCGGTCCAAGCTGGGCTTGGGCCAACCCTATAGGGCCTAAGTTTTGACTTGGGATATGACTGGTCCGACCGAGGCCCAACTCATTGCCTGCCTTGAAGTTTGAATATTTTTTAATATATTTAATATTTTAAAACCATTATCCTTATTTTTTTATTCCCTTTTTTTAAATTAGATCCCATAAGTTTGACAAGTGACAAGAATAGGCGGTGGTGAGACCAGCTTTTACTCATTGAGCCCCTCATCAATTAAACACAAAGCTAATTTTTTTATAACATTATTTCAAAATTTGAACAAGTGCCAATACTAGGGAATTTGTTGGTGGGAGGGTATTTACATGGAAGGAGCGGCTTCCATATTTAACGTCAAGTTTACATGCTTTCTGAAGCCGCCTCTTCCATTTTGCAACTTCCATGCATAAGTTTATTTTAGTGGAACTTGAATTTTTCATTAAATTTCTACCAATCAAACACACCTTGAAGGAAAACTTTAAACAAGAGTTGTGAGACATAGCATGAGACAATGAAATGCAATTGGTACCCTTCATTTGATTAAGAGGAAGTCGGGCTTCCAAGTAGGGCTTCATGGCGACCCCTAAAGTAGGAGACAAGCTCATCGCAAGATGGAAACATCTGCCTGACTTCTATGCCTCTGAACCCTTCGATCCAAGAATGAAGGACCAGCATTTCCTCAGGATCATAATACTGTATTCCCCCAGCTTCCCCTAGTACTCCCATGCCGAACCTTATAGCATTAGCAACTATGCAAAGAAACCCACATGTTTCTCCATTAAAAACGTTCCCGTTGAGCTTGAGCCCTCCTTCAATGTGTTTTAGGCACTCATGAACCACTTTGAGGGCCTTATCTTGCACCTCTCCTCGTGTAGAAAAAGTTTTCCAGCAAGCAAGTGAACACTGTCTTTCAAAAAAAAAAAAAAAAAAAATTAAATAAAAAACGAGAAAAAGCGATGATCACATTTACTGTATGAAATTGTAATGAGGCCATTATGCCGGCCTAGAAATAAATCCTCTGGCCAATAGGAAGGTTATTTGTTTGCCTAGTGTTCAAGAGTAAATTGGTTATTTCTCACTTTTCATGGGCCACTAGCAAGTGTATTTCATGGCACTAATTCTCATGTTACTTGTTTCTGATTAAAATACGATATCCAAATTGGAGGCTCTCTTTCGTTTTATAGATTTTTTTATTTATATTATATCTATAAGGTTGGTGTTTGATGAATAACGCAATTAAACATGATAAAATACGCATTTTTTTACCTTCATCGCTATCTTCTCTCTTTAAATAAGAGTGTTTTTAAAGCTTCACATAGATGAACAACGAATGAAGTCTATGTGGGAGTAAGAGAGGAGAGAGAGAATTATGAGATTTTTTCTTTTTTTCCCTTGTTGCATTGGATTTGTCCAAATTCAAATGGTAACGGTTAAAATAAGGCCAAGCTCTATAGGATAAATAAATAAAGTTTCATCTCAAAATTGAGCAAAAATTATAGTTTTGGTATTGAAAAATCATCAAATCAATCATCTTGACCTTGATTATTATGGTTGGAAGAAACTCGGATTTTAAATCCTAAAGATAATCTACATTGTAATACATTATCTAAACCTCGCATTTTCAAGTATACCCTTTTTATTACTACAAATTTTTATAACCGTTGATGGAAATAGATTTTAGATCCACCTTAGGGAGTTCTCATGCCCAAAGTGTTATCGGTGAGATTTCAAGGTGAGGCTTTACATTTTTTTACAAGGCCTGAATTTTGTAGAAATTGCATCCAATTCAAGTACACCGTAGAGAACAGTATTCCCTTTAGGGTTTTACAAGAGAACAGTATTCCCTGACCTTTACTAAAATGAAGAACTAGTATACTATACTCCCTCGGGAGGATAATATGCATTTACTCCCTTAGGCGAAACACTTATTTGGGATAATTTTTTTATTTGAAATTTTGAGATCCATCTAATAGAAGTGGATGATTATTTTCAAAGAAAAAAAATTGAATTTTGAGTTTTCAAGCATCTAGCTCATTCACTCGATGGTTCTAATGCAATTTTGGGATGGCATTTTTTTACTCATATAGAGTGTAAGAGGTTTAATTTTTTTTATTTTTTTTTTTTAAAGTTGGTTGTTGGGTTCTAAAAATCGCTTCCCCAAAATTTCACATTTTAAATACATTCCTATCTTAAGTTTTACCTGAAGGAGTAGATGGATAGTACACTCCCACGGGAGTAGGACATGATTTAACTAAAATGAAATGCACTACTTATACAACAACAAGAGATTCATAATTGCATAATAAAGCTCTTCTAGCAGTTCTTTTAAAAATTGTCGATTAGACAAGGGATGGAATACATAGAGTGCCACACAATTCCAATTAGAAGAACCCTATAATCGCCCCATTTTCTACATCTTTCTAAAAGTTTATTTATCAGTGCTAGCTCTTTTGGACTTGGGTACTCCATGTTTTTGTTGGGATATATATATTTTAGGTTCATATTGATATACATCATTATGAATGTATATGTATATATCTCTTGATAAGGTTAGGTATCTAGAAGATGGAGACCAAGTTACTTGGTCAAGTTATCATACCATAATTATTTCTTCTAATTGTGTGATTGTCCTCTATATAGAGAGGTATTTTATCTCTTCTAATTGTGTGATTGTCCTCTATATAGAGCGGTACTTCTTGATGTAAATATTCATCCAAAATAATGAAGATGTAGCCAGTTAGCCTTTGGATCCGTAGATGTAAGGCTTCGACCTGAACCACATAAATGTTGTATTTTCTTTTTTTTCTCTCTTTATTCTATAATCCCACAAATTCTAACATGGTATCAGAGCCATAGACTCCTCGGCTCAGACCTGATATCGACAAATTTAAAGATCTGATATCGGGAAATTTCAAGACCATCTGTAACCACCGATCCTTGTTGATGTGTTGGTAGCATGACTTTTATTCTCCCATGATGTCCAAGGATCAAGTTGGTAAAAAGAGGGAGAGAGGAGTGATGGTGATTCCAGGGTTCCCTGTGAACGATGGCGATGTGAAGCGAGTGCTGAATATTATACAGAGTTCCTTGCCTAAAATTTCAACTGCAACCGTTGACCTCCAAATCATTGGCATGGATCAATTTGCTATGGCAGAAGAATTGGCTTTTCTTATTAAAGATAATTTACCTTGTAAGCATCTCATTCTTTCAATGGAAGATGGCCTAGTCAAATTCCTTCAACGAAATACATGCTTCGAGGCTGTCTTGGAGCCGTATAAATGAATCGTTACCACCGAATTCTTCTACATCATCTTGCAGAGCTTTTCGAGTTAGCACATGAATCTGTTGGTGAAGGAGACGATCGCCATTTAAATCTAGATTTGAATGGTATTTTTTTTAAGATGTGGGCTTTTGTCTAGAAGCCCAATATCATTGGCTTTTTTTTTTTTCTTTTGATATGGTTGTACTCAAAAGAAAAAAAAATTGTATTTTGTAAGTTGGGTATTTCTTTGCATCCACACCCAACTTGAGGGGGACAGTATAGGAGATATGGAGATGAGATGAGCAGAGATGAAGTCAACATCTCTAATGTAATCACTATGTGGACAAGAAAATCCAAATTCTAGATCAGTCCAATTACTATGCAAAAGGAAGTTATGGTTGGTGATCAAGAGTTCCGTCTCCAGATGAAGAGATGAAGATGATCGAATTTCACAGTCCTGCTTGTTGATCAAGAGTTTTGTGTCCAAATGAGAAGATGAAGATGATCGAATTTTTTTTATCCTGGTTGATGATCAAGTTTTTCGTTTCTTGATCTTGTTTGATGATGGAGCTTTTCTTTGCTCCATCTTGTGTGATGATCATCATGTTTTTCGTTACTCGATCTTGGATGTTTTGAAGAGAGAGAAAGAAAAATCATTTTCTTTTAGAGAGAGAAAGCCTCTAGAAAGAAAAGAAGCCTCTAAAGAGAGAGATCTTCAGAGAAGCCTCTGAAGAGAGAGATATTCAGAGAAGAAAGTAGAGAGCCCAAGAAAGGTTGTTTCTTGGAAGACCTTAGCGAGAGAAAGTCTCTAGAAGGAAGTAGAGAGCTCAAGAAAGATTGTTTCTTGGAAGACCATGGTAACATGTGATTTCTTTTTTGGTAACTTAGTATTATTCACACTCGAGCTGCTTTGTGTCAAAGCATCTTGAGTTTGAGGGGGAGTGTTGAGATATAGATATCTTAAGTTCATATTGATATACGTCATTATGGATGTATATGTATATATCTCTTGATAAGGTTAGATATCTAGAAGATAGCTACCAAGTTATTTTGTCATCAAGTTATCATATCATAATTATCTCTTCTAATTGTGTCATTGTCCTCTATATATAGAGGTACTTCTTGATGTAAAGATTCATTCACAATAATGAAGATGAAGTCAGTTAGGCTTTGGAAACCGTGGACGTAAGGCTTCAGCCTGAACCATGTAAATGTTGTGTTCTTTCTTTTTCTCTCTTCATTCTATACTCTCACAAATTCTAACAGTTTTGACTTCAAAATTATCAGAAAATGAAACCACAAAGTCACGGATTTTGGAATGGAGGTTTGTCGCGGCTCTCTCTATCTATATTTTCAATTTCTTCATCTTCTATTCCTTGTTTATCATAATGTGACGATTTCTCGTTAATCAAGTTCTTAAAGGAGTTAATTTCAATCCAAATGAATCCAATATAATGATAAGGAAAATTTGGTCAAGTCCGCTCAGACTCACTTGAGTTATTCGGCCTTAACGGGGTCCCATATACTCACTAGGTTACTTAGAAATTGTGTAGTAGGGACTCACCCGAGTACTCTCGAAAAAACTTCAGGCAAGTTCCATGTACTTGAGCTAGTCTACTGTGTATTGTCTCAAGCACTTTTAATATAGAAGAGAATGTACCACCTGTAGAGAAAGACAGATGTCATAATCCCAGAAAAATCCGCTTCGCAATTAGTGTAACAACATCACACTAGCCCAAGACTCACAATCAAAGAGATAGAAGAAAAGCAATCAAGATGAGGTAGAAGAAAAACTTGCATTCAAACATGAAAAATGGGGTACACAAAGACATTACAATCTTAACACCCAAGATTAATCTTAAAACATGAGACCCAATTTTTCCCATAATACACTTCTCTTTAAATAGATGTTTTTTACAACTATATTTACTCCAAAAACTACCCACTTGCAACAATAACTACTAATCACCTAGTAGCTTCATAACTTTCCACTATACAAACTTACAAATATAGCCTCCCTACTTCACTCATAATAAAATAACAAAAAAATTAATATCATTTCTAGAAAATACACTTTAACAATTTTAACACCACCTCCTCTCTCTCTCTCT